TTATTTTTTTTTTTCCAATTTCTGCTATTTGAAAAATACTGCCATCCAGATGTGGCGGCTCAATCCTGTAACCCCAGTACTATGAAGGCTAAAATGGGAGGATTGTCATGAGCCTGGGAGAATAATGAGTTCCAGGCCAGTGTAGACTATAGAGAAACCATATCAAAAAGCAAATAACCAAACAAAATACCACCAAATATTCCTTCATAGATAGATGACTGGATTGGGAGACTAGCACCCTGGGTAAGAGATTGCTCAACAATGGGTAGGTACATTTGTGACTCCAGAGCATCTTCCCTTCTGCAGTCCAAGTAACAATGTAATTGCTATTACAGACCTCTGTCAAAGTGTGTTACAGGGTCTGTATTAGCAATGATGGCCTCAAACTTTAGAATCTTTGCCAGTCCCGGAGGTGAGAAATTGAATTTCAGTGTAGACACAGGTTGCATTTTTTTCAATACAAAGAAGACCAAACATCTGATATTTTCTTACAAGCCTTTAAAAAAGTTTCTCTCTTTCATAAAAAGCTGTTGGCTTTTCTATTGTTTTATTTGTTAGTTTATGTGTATGGCTGTTTTCCCTGCATGTTATGACTATGTACCATGTTTATACCCAGGAAGGTTAGAAGAGGGCATTGGGTCCCCTAGAACTATAGTTACTGAAGGTTTTGAGCAGCTATGTGAATACTGGGAATTGAACCCAGGTCCTTTGGAAGAGCAGCCAGTGTTCTTAACCACTGAGCCATCTCTCCAGCTACTATTGTTTTCTTTATATCTAGGATTTTTTGTTTGCTTTTGCTATTGTTGTTGTTTACATATAATCTTACTTTTCAACGATGTGTATTTGTATGTGCTTGTTTGTATGCCGTGTGAGTACAGAAGCCCTTGGAAGCCAGGATAGGTCTTCAGCTCCCCCAGAGCTGGAGCCTCAGGCAACTATGAGTCAGCTGAAGTGGGCCTCAGAACCAAACCCAGGTCTTATGGATGAGCACTAGGCACTCTTAACCACTGGGCCGTCTATCTCTCTAGCCTGCTTGTTTTGTGAAACAGGGTCTCATAGTGATCCCAAGTTAGCTCTCGCCTCCCTCCCCCCCTCATCCAGTTTGACATTACAGGCATGAGCTACCACACCCAGCTACCACACCCAGTTATGGGAATTTTGGTTTTGTTCTTAATGGTTTGGGGACAGAGTCTCAATATGTTCAGATTGGCTCCAAATCCACTATCCTCATGACGCAGTCTCCCAAATATTGAGATTACAGATGTATGTCATCATGCCTAGCCTGGAAACTTTTGCTATGAACAGAGGCATCAGGCAAACTACAGGCGAGACATTCAACGCAATCAAGTTTACATCATGCCATTAGGAGGCCCCACATTGCCACCATCATCTCGATCACCCGAGGTAACTGACTAGTCAACGAAGATCTAACATGCACAGGTGTTCATAAGCAAAGGCGCTAGAATGACGGTTCTCAACCTGTGGGTCTCGACCACCTTGTGGGCTGCATATCAGATAGTTATATTACGATTCATAACAGTAGCGAAATTATAGTTATGAAATAGTGACAAAAGTAATTTTACAATTGGGGTCACCACAACATGAGGAACTGTATTAAAGGGTCCCAGCATTAGGAAGTGTTTATCCTGAAATTCGCCAGAAAAGCCAATTCTATCATTTTGGCCAAATTTAAGCAAGCTTTTATTAAAATTTTAAATACTGACCAAGATGGAACTTGGTCAGGACCATCACCTGGAAACTTTACAGGTAAGTGGCCCCAAGATCCATGTTGACAGAGCTTATACGGGTAAACCAACAGGCCACTGCACTTTCTCATGAGGTTTTATTGTTATCTTCCAAGAACTACAACTCCCAGAATCCCAGGAAGTTACCTGGTCCCTGGACAGGTGTTATCTTTCAAGAACTCCAACTACCGGGACCCCAGGAAGTTGCCTGGTCTTTGGGCAGGGGATGCTTACAGGTTAACTTCGGGTGTAACAGAAGGTTGAGAACCACTGATCTAGAACCTGATACAAGGACCCCACATTGTCCAATACACAGAAACATGGTTAAGTCTCAACTAACCAGAAGTCAAACTTTAAATTCAAATTTCCATAATGCTCTAACTTGGAAGTCCATGACAGTAGACTCAGGGCTATGCATGTAAAAAAAAAAAAAAACCACAGGGCTTCACGGGTGTGACAGCTCCTGAACCCTCACCCAGAGCTTAAGAATTATATTGGCAAGATTTTATTCACCTGGCTGGCTGGCAGGCTTCCCAACCAAAGCACACTATGTGGATGTGGGTAAGGACAAAGGAGGACTCTTCAGAAAAGAAGAAAGCAAGACAGCATTCAGAGTTGGCCAAGAATATTGGCCATTGGCTCCTGGGAACAAAGAATCTTGAAAGAAATGGCTAAGGCAACGGTTGTATGAGAGAACCATGCCAGTGGGTCTGATTCAGTCTCGGGGAACACTTGACCTTGCGGGTAACACTTGACCTTGCGTATCAAGGGACCTTGTTCTTTCTCATTTCCTACTTAAGCTTCTTTTTCCTCCTCCTCTTCTGTTTTTTTGTTTTGTTTTGTTTTGTTTTGTTTTGTTTTGTTTTGTTTTGTTTGAGAGAGAGAGAAAGAGAGAGAGAGAGAGTGAGTGAGTTTGAGGCTGGCCTTGAACTCTGTAGCCTCCTGTCTCTGTTTCCCAGAGGTGGGAATAGGTTTCTTCTTCTGGTCTTGCCACAACAGGACCAGGGTTCTTGGGAATAAACCACAGCATTGGATACACCAATAAAGAGCAGGGTCAACACGCGCTGGGCTCCTGCTCATTCCAGGTGCCGAGCAGGATGCCTTTGTGTGTTTCCTCATTTACCCTCCAACTCTCTGAAGCAAACGTTTTGCACATATTGCAGATGTGGAAACTGAAGGTCAAAAATGTTAAGTAATTTTCCCAAGATCTTGACAAACAGTCGCCTGTGAAGCCAGCCTGGTGCTGCTTAGGGGTGGACTTGTGTTCCCCCACTGAACGTGAACAGGGCATCCACATGAGTGAGACCACCATAATCACAAATCTTGGCAAAAAACCATGACTACTCTGGCACCATGACCAACTACAGACCAAGCACGAATGCTCTCCAAACCACAAAATGGCCAATACCACCTTCCTCCCGGTCCTGCCTGTAAACTGAGGCTGCTTCGTGACCAACCCCAGCTTCAGCCTAGCCCTGACAGGCTTTCCATCAAGCAATGGTTTGAGAAGAGATGCAATCAGAATCCCCCACCCCCTTACAGTTAGCCTCTAGTCCGGAGCAAAGACTTCTCTGAAATCACTGGCAAGCCACATTCCCCCTTGCTACAAGGAGCAATAAAATCCAGCAGGTCCAAATCCCAGTAGCTTTGACTAGGGGACCTTGAATATCTACCAAGAGAATTAGTACTGAGCCAAGAAGATCCCCTTGAATCCAGAGCAGGTGCTTCTGACCACTCCATTCTGCCAACCCTGGTCAGCTTTTTCTTCTTTAATTTAGCTGCATATGATCCATCTGGGAAAGACAGTGTGTGTGGAAAGGCCAACTTCAGTTACGGTGGAGGCAAAACCATTGCCTTGAAAAATGTATCTCTTCACCAATAGTATGTGAAATAAAGAAACAAATGATGGTCAGAGGACAGGCGTGAGTCTGAACCGGCAGATTGAAGCAGGCCAGGCGGCAAAGGATGTGGAGTGGAGGAAATGAAAGACTGTTAGGGACGGAGGAGGCCAGGGCTGTGGTGTACAGCCTACAGGTGGGTACTTGGAACTAGAAAGGCTGAGACAGGAGAATTGCAAATCCAAGTCCAGCCTGGTCATCACAGGGATATGATGGCTTTAAAAAATGTTTTAATGAATCTTCAAAGGTAAAAGCAGCTGTGGTTGACTGCACACAGCTGTAATCCCACCACTGTTCCGGGAGAGGCAGAATGTTCAAGGGCAGACCAGGCTGCCAGGACACTTAGCTCAAAGATAAACGCGAAGATCCACACACATAAAGCGGGGACCTCTCTAGCAGGCATCCACAGAGCTCAAGAACAGGAACACCTCGTGGACAAGTCCTCTGAGCCGGGCAACCTGGGCAGGCAGTCTGGGTCAGTTTCCTCTCTCAGATCTCATCCGGAGTCGGGGCCCGGCTTCTCCCCAAAGTATTTCTTTGTAAGAAGTGCTTGTGGGTGATGGATGTTGAAGACGATTCATTTTATCATACGTCTAGATGCTGTTCCTCTAACCTTTCAGCTCTTTTCCTTCTCCCAGCTAGCTCTGCCTGGGGCGTGACAGCCCCGGCCCAGCCGCCCCAACACATCCTTTCTCACTTCTCTCCAAGTCTCATTCAGACTCCCAGTGAGTGGGTGACTGGCCGGCTGTTTTTTGTTCAGGCTCCAGCAAAGCCCTAGAGCTGCCCCAAGTCTTTCCCTGAGGGGTGCAGAGGGGGAAGAACCTCTCCCCAATCCCCCATTCAGGATTGAGGCAAAAGGGTCCCAGTGCCCAGGTTGGATTTAGTTACCCCAGGCCTGGCCGCACCCAAGCCTGCCTCTGCCTGCCTCTGGCCTTTCCTCTCACACGCCTGGATCCTTCCAGACACCGGAGAGAGCTCAGAAGACAAAGGATGGATGTAGGCGATGGATACGGTGGGGACATGATGAGGTTGGGTGCCAGAGAGCACCAGCGGCATTTGCCACATTCCAGGACTACCGGGGTGGCCACAAGCATGCTGGGAAGAGGCAAGGATGGGATGGAGACCTGGGCGGAATCGGACTACGGGCAGGACAGAGCAGCTGTCCCTCCTGAAGGGTGGAGGAGAAAAGGGGGGGCGATTGTGCCCCAATCAGCGACTTCGGGAGGGAGCAAGGGGGTCCCCAGGGAAAAGGGGCGCTGACAGTTTGCCCCAGGCCGGGATACCAGGGAGGGAGGAGGGGAGAGGAGCACAGGCGGAGCCCGCAGCACGCGCCCGCCCGCCCGCCGCCGCCACTTACCCGCGCGCTGCAGCTCGGTCCTGCACGTGCTCGGTTCCCGCAGGCGCGTTCCCGGGACTCTCAGGCAGAGGAGCAGGGCGGGCCCGGACCTTTGTTCAGTCCTGCCCCAGGGAGTCTCAGCGGGGCCACAAGCAGAGGCACCGCGCTGGAGGCGGGGCTGGACCCGGGCTCGGGGACCCTGGCGGCAGAGGCAAAGGCGCTCCAGGCAGCAGGGAGGCAGCTGCTGACAGACACTGCCTCTCTTCCTTCCGGGGATACCAGGGAGGTTGCCAACTGCCCAGGTCAGGCTTTGGCTGAAGCAGCTGCTCCAGAGGAGGGAGGTGAGGATGAGCTGTGGGCTACTGACCACAGACGCCTCACCCCCTACCTCCCACCCCTCCCCACCCCCACACACCCCCACCACCTTCCCCACACCCTGTCATGCCACCAGTAGGGTGTGAGTTGGCACAGTGGCCTTACAGTTCATCCAGGGAACTCAGTCCTTGGCCTTGGGGAGCCTTGCACTTGCTTGGGGATTGGTGTTGTGAGGGTGAGCTCCCTGAAGGAGAACCAAGCCTGCCACCAGCGGTGACAAGGAAAGGGATTAGAGCAGAATGCTTTGTAGGGTGTTCTTTCCTGTGCGATGAACAGCAGAAAAGAAAATCCGACCCCCGACCCCCAGGCCCCAGATTTACACTCAGAGAATAGAGCATTTCTTAGGAAGGAGCCCGGCAGGCGGCTACAGAGGAGGACTCTCCATTGATCACCTCACCACAAAGCCTGTCCTCACCATTCATACTACTAGGGACCACAGGGGCCCTCTATAGCTCCTTACACACTTCACGGTTCTCCTTTGCCCCAGCCGCCCTCACATCACTACACGTATAATACACAGTTCTTCCCTACGTTTTCATCTTACTGAGGACAGGGAGATGCTTTGCTTTGTTCACTATGTCCAGCTCCAAACTTGAAACTTACTTGATACTCAGCAAATTATGCTTGGATTAGAAAATAACTGGTGAGATGCCCAGTATGTAAAGGTGACAGCCTTCAAGTATGACGACCTGGGTTCAATCCCCAGAATGCACACAGAGGAAGAACTGACTTCTTCACGTTATCGTCTGACCTCCACATGTGCACTGGTACCTGCACATGTGCTCACATGTGCATATTATAGATAGATAGATAGATAGATAGATAGATAGATAGATAGATAGATATATGATAGAGATAGATGGTAGACAGATATAGATAGATAGATAGATAGATAGATAGATAGATAGATGATAGAGATAAATGATAGACAGATTAGATAGATAGATAGATGATAGAGATAGATGGTAGACATAGATAGATAGATAGATAGATAGATAGATAGATAGATAGATAGATAGATAGATAGATGATAGAGATAAATAACAGACATAGATAGATAGATAGAGATGATGGATAGATATAGATGATAGACAGACATAGATACAGATAGATAGATACAGATAGACAGACAGACAAATACATGGATAAGTAGACAGACAGATAGATAGATAGATAGATAGATAGATAGATAGATAGATGATAGATAGATAAATGATAGATAGATAGATAGATAGATAGATAGATAGATAGATAGATAGATAGATAGATAGATGAGAGGTTTTTTTTTCTCAAATGGGGTATATGGGGATTATGAAGTTGTCTTCATAAGTTACCTAGTTTCAAGATTTTCTTTCTAGCAACTTAAGCCATGTAAGAGGATGAAGACTTATCAGTGTCCATTGCCTCCTGACCTGGGCAGTTAAGCTTCAGAGCATCCTCACCATTCAGTGCCCATCCTGAAGGCCCCAGCTCCCCACTTGTAATTGATATGCATGAGGAAGGTGTAGACAGTGGGTATCGGATGAATGAGTAATAGAAATTGCCAGAGTTGCCCCTCTGGTCCTATACTTTGCCAGTGTGACTAGGCAAGAAAGGCAAAGAAAGAAAAGAAAGGAAAGAAAAGTCACTATTCTAGTCTGGTCAAGATGTTTTAAAATCTGTCATTGGTCCTTTGGGTTCATAAAATCATACACTGATGTTGTGGTTTGATTGTGTTACCCAGAGTCTAAGTCCGTGCAGTGTTGAGAGGGGGTACCCATAAGAGGTGGTTAAGACATGAAGGCTCTGCCCTCAGATACTGTTGACAAGGGAGTGGGTTGGTTACCATGGAAACTGGTTCCTATCAAAGGAGCTTGCCACCCCCTCCCCATCCCACCTGCCCCTCTCTTCCCATTCCTTCCACCTTCTTTCTTAGGATGACTGAGCAAGAAGGTTCTCTAGAACAACTTGACCAAGGACTTCTCAGTCTCCAGAACCGGAGGAAATAAAATCTGGGTTCTGTATCATTTACCCAGTCTCAGGAATTCTGTTCTAGCCTCACAAAGTCAAGTAAGAGACTTGTTAACTTAATTGTTATCATAGCTTATTGCCCCATGGCCTGGGGCATCAACCTTTGAGCAGCCTCATAACACCATGTTCAAGCAGTCCCCACCCTGATGGCTCATCCTCTAACTAGGTCACTACTTGAAACTGAGACCACATGAGTTTCTGAAGCAATGGTTCCTCCATGTCTTCAAATTTTTCACTCTTCCTATCCTGTGCAGTGGCTAGTCATTAAATGCCAGAGGGAGATATAAGCAGCTGAGATGGAGGTGACACTTTCTAGGTACTGTCTCTAGGCATGGCTGTGAGTTCTTTACACGTAAAGACAATCTTATCTAACCCTCATAACCAACTTTGGGTTCAAGTTAAACAAGGGGAGTGAGACTTCAGAAACTGGGAAGTAATGTCAGAGTTTAACTCAGGTACAGAGCATGGCATTCAGAACGTGGGTCTTGGGAACGGAACGCTGGTCCTCTGCAAGAACAGGATACACTCTTAACCACAGAGCCATCTCTCCAGCCCCATACTTTAATTTTTTAATTTCACTTGTGCTTCTTGCTATCACTTTATTTGAATATTTCAGAGGCCACAATTGAAACAAAATAAGATTCTAATCTCAGACTCTCTTCAGTATGCTCTGTTAGGAAGAGGGGTGTGGGAACTCTCACTGGAGAAAGACTGGGGTGCTTATTGTTGGCAAGTATTTGCTTCTCAGAAGATTCATCACATAACTGTTTCAAGTTGCAGATCTTGCTAAATGTTCTACTATTCACTGGGTGTTCCCGGCTCTACCCCAGAGTAAGCTGATGGCTCAATTATCAATAGCTTCATTTTGTACCTTTAATCACTTCTTATACCTCCCAGCTTTACAGGCTGGGACCTGGGGCAGGGCAGCTACACAACCATTTAGTTCCATGTGAGGTCCCTCTAAGGACTTTAACTGCTGATGGGGTAATGGCTTGGTCTGAAAGGTATAGAATAGCTTTGCCAATATTTAATCCCTTCAGGATGCTATAATAAAATAATATGGACTGTATGGATTATAAACAATAGAAATTTGTTTTTCACAGTTTGTCGTAGTTCATAATCAAGGGCTTAGCAGATTCTGTGCCTGTTAAAAATGCTTCATGGTTCTTAGATGATTTGTCACATGGTAGACAGGACCACTCTTGGATATAATCGCCTATCAACCCCCCACCTCCTCATGTTATCACATGGCTAATTACACTAAGGCATATGAATTTTGGAGGAATACTGTAACACGAATTGCTAAACAGTCTTATTAATAGAAAACTTGGAGCCAGACATTGGAGTGAAAGCTGAAAGATCAGAGAAACAGAACAAGCCAGCCATGTTTTTTTTTTTTTCTTGGTTTTTTGAGACAGGGTTTCTCTGTGTAGCTTTGCGCTTTTCCTAGAACTCACTCTGTAGCCCAGGTTGGCCTCGAACTCACAAAGATCCTCCTGGCTCTGCCTCCCCAGTGCTGGGACTAAAGGTGTGTGCCACCACTGCCCGGCTGCCAGCCACATTCTTACTTCTACGAAATCATCAGCCTCAAGGGAGTGAGTTCCTGTTTCCTCACACCTTATATACCTTTTTCTGCCCTGCCATCTTACTTCCTGGGATTAAAGGCATGTGTGCCTCCCAAGCAAAGGCATGAGATCTCAAGTGCTGGGATTAAAGGTGTGTGCCACCACCCCTAGCTTGGTTCCCAGTGTGGCCTTGAACTCACAGAGATCCGTCTCTCCTGAGTGATAGGATTAAGGGTGTGTCCTACTACTGTCTGGCCTCTATGTCTAATCTAGTGGCTGGCTCTGTCCCTCTGATCCCCAGATAAGTTTTATTGGGGTGCACAATATATCACCACAGAAAACAAACACTCAGAAGAATGACATTCTACCTCTCCACTAGGGAAATCACAATGCCTTTTCATAATGTTACAATCCAATTCTTGGTTTTATTAAACACACAAAGAAAATTTCTGTTTTTATCTATTCATGTACAAACAAATATCATCACTGAAGAAATTCGTAATGAAGACCAATAGTCATCCAGCAGATGTTGGATTTACAGAAACATTCCAAGTGATACAACTCAGAGCCATGCAAACTTCCCCCAGCCCATTATTGTCAGCAGTGCTTATGTTCAGCACTCAGGCTCTCTAGATCCAGCACTTAGGATTTAGGCAGCATCTTGCTGACAAGTGTTTATTAAGGATATAGCATGGGCGTTAGGGAGACTAAAGATTCCCTCAGCCATCTTAGTTCCTACTTAGAATCCCTGTAACAAAAGCAGATTAACAAGAGAGAAACACACACACACACACACACACACACACACACACACACACGCGCGCGCGCGTATTAGTGTGTAGCACACTAAATATAAAACTTAATATAAAAATGTGTGTGTGCCATATACATATATATCCATACATATAGTGCATGCGCATGGGTGTGAAAACGCACACAATCACAGGGGAACATGAAGAGGGCACGGAGGGTCTTCCTCTCTTGCTCTCTGCCTCATTAGTGTGAGGCAGAGTCTCTCGTCAAGCCAGAGACTTGATGTTGTGGCTGCCTGGCCAGCAAGCTCCTGGGATCTGTTCCTCTCTGCTCCTTGAGGCTGGGTTTGTAGTCACCCAAAGCCAGAGCTATCTTTTTTTTTTTTTGTGGGTGCCTGAGATTCAAACTCGGGTCCTCACGCTTGAACAGCAAGCTCTCTCACCTACTGAGCCCTCCCGTCAGCCCCTGGCATAGCGTCTTCCACAGAGAACAGTAAATCTGTAGGGAGAGAAGAACCGAGGCAGGCCATGGCAGGTTTCCAAAGGTGGGAAACTGTGGCAAGGTGAGCCCGTGTGGGAAACCAAGCACATGGAGGTTCACTTCCAGGCG